CTGTGATTCGTGTGCTGAATTGCTTTTCTCCAACCAAGAATCTATACACATAAGCCTAGGGGCCATCCATTAAATATAGATATTCATTTAAAAACGAAAACTATTCGTTTAGGGGGGAGGGGGCTGAGCGCCTGTTCGCTCGAAAAATATCGATGCACAGTTTGTATGTGTGGGCACGTCCTGAAGAGAAAAGAAAAAATATCGATACTATGCATCGTTTGTATGTGTTCGTTGCTGAGGGAGGGGGGGGGGGGAGGGGGGTTGAAGAGAAACGACTAGTTTTCGTTTCTAAATGAATATCGGTATTTACGGATGACTTTTAAACACACAAACGTACACAAACACACACACACACACACACATCTCAGATCTGCCTATCGCGGAAGCGATGATAGCGAACAGCTATGTTAGACATAGCAACTTGTGCTGGGATTACACCATTCAACAACTTGCAAGGCTGATGAATTGACCGCCACTAATTTAGCCTGGTATCCACCACACAGCTGATTGAAGTGGCTTTTTCTGGCCACTGAAACCCTATTTTTCATTTTTCTTTTTTTAGTAAAAAAAAGAGAAGAAACATATCAGAACGAGTTATGCAGCAACTATCCACGACTGTAACAAGATGATAAACGGTCAGAATGTCTCAGTAGCCTGTAAGTTTTGTGCCTTCTTATCGCACATTCTGACCGTTTATCATCTTGTTACAGTCGTGGATAGTTGCTGCATAACTCGTTCTGATATGTTTCTTCTCTTTTTTACGTATTATTCCTGGCTCAAAAATTGGTTGTGAGCAACACTGGCTCACACTCAAATCACTGCTTTTCACCAGAAAAATATTATTCCTGGCTCAGTATGCGAATATAAATTATATTTTTTATTTTTTTTATTTTACACACACACACACACCACCACATACTCCGGCACACACACACACACACACACACACACACACACACACACACACACACACACACCTGTCCTGTCCTGTCCTGTAGAGCCACTGCCACAGGGGTCACGTGGACCCCAGCGGGGCATCAGAGAGGAAGATGGAGCACGCAGCCTGATGACGCGGGAGATGGTGGGGCAAACGGAACCGGCGAGAACACACGCATACATGGCTGAACGAATTACGCTGCTGGGCAGTCGGGCGCGGGCCAGTCCTCGAGCACCGGTGACGACCGCGGCCTTGCACAGACCGAAAGCAGCGGGCACACACGGCACAGTGCGCAGCACAGCAGGCATCCTGCACATAGACTTGCCGGGGCTCGGGAGGCTGAGGCTGAGGTGCGGAACAGCGGTGAACAGCTAAACCACCCTTGCTGCGAAACCAACGCCCACAATCTCCACAGTGGCAAGCCCCTCGCTGCTCAGCAATCGGCTTTGCCCGCTCAACCACACATTTGTGGCGAGCGCGATCTCCAGGGCGCGAGAATGACCGATTGCAATCCGCACATACCACTGGGTCAGGCTGAGGCACATTCTCCACAGGCTCGGCGTACATAGTCCGCCAGTCAGCGCGGGACTCACAGGCGATAGGGTACCATTCCTTGGTGAGGCCACGAACTCTTAGGTCGGAGACAACGCAATCCTTCCAGCGCTTGCGAGGGCCATGTGCTGGGCGACGTGTGAGAAGTGAGCCAAACAGGATCTGTCTCGGCATCCGGCTACTGTCCATTCGGGCAACATGGCCCAGCCACTCTAGGCGACGCTGTGCGACCTTCACGCAGATGGTATCAGAGTCACCCCACATCTCCAACAGTTGGGCGTTGGTCGTGTGATTATTCCAGCAATCTCTGCGGGACACACCCAGGATGGAACGGATGCACCGCATATGAAAGACTGACAAACGTTGCAGATCGTGTTGCAATGGTGTCCAACACTCTGACCCATAGAGGAGGAGCGACAGCACACATGCATTAAACACACACCTCTTGATATGCAAATCAAGGTCAGGATTGCTGAAGATGGTTCCTTGCAAGGCCCCACAAGCACGAGAGGCATGCGCAATCCGAGCAGTGATGTCCTGTGTCGACCGGCCACCGTGATGAATGAGAGATCCCAGATACCGGAACTCCGAAACACACTCGATGACCGTGCCAGCTAGCTCGATTCGAGCGCAGTCCCCAGGCGAAACATCCCTACCTGCAACCAAGAACTGTGTCTTGGTAGCGCGAACTTTAAGCCCAAACTCAGCTGCGGTCGTGTCAAACACTGCAAGTGCCATCTCCGCCCCTGCACGAGTCGTCGCGAAAAGTGCTGAGTCGTCTGCAAACTGTGACTCAATGGCAATGGCAATCGGATCTGTCCTGGTAGGCTTGCGGTAAAGGTTATTGTCACCATCACAATGCCGGAACTCAAAAACAACACCGGACATCTCGGACTCGTCGCTGCCACACAGTCACCACCGCCCACATGAAGATGTTAAACAGCACAGGTGCCATGGTGCACCCCTGACGGAGACCATTCGTGACACGGATAGGGTCAGTTGTCGTGTTCTCTACCCGAACCACCGCCGACATGTCAGTGTGAAAGGAACGGATCACAGCAAGCATGGGAGCAGGGATACCCGCTCGGGATAAGACTTCCCACAGGCAATCCCGAGGCACGGAATCATAGGCTTTCTTGAGGTCTATAAATACAAAGAAGCCTTTGCAGTTGTGCTCAATGGTCTTCTCGAGGAACTGCCGAACACTGAAAACCATATCTGTACAAGATCGGCCACGCCTGAAGCCACACTGAGACTCTGGGAGAAAATCCGCAGCCACGGACTGGAGACGAGTCTGGATGACGCTCGCCAAAACCTTGCCCACAACATCCGGCAGTGAGATACCCCGCCAATTATCACAGCGAGATAAATCCCCTTTCTTTGGGATGGGGACCAACGTGGCGTCCACCCACTCCTGCGGGACCACCCCAGCACGCCACACATCGCCAAACAGCTCCACAAGCTTGGCGGTGAGGTCAGGGCCACCCCTCTTCAGCATCTCAGGGAGGATGCCAGAGGCTCCAGCGGACTTGCCGTTCTGTAGGCGGGAGATAGCGCGCTGACTTCACGGAGAGTCGGCGCCTCAGCAAGATGATCAGCCTCCTGTCGCTGTGGGATGTCGTCCAGGGCATTGCGATTCCATGCACTTGCCACGTTGAGAACACCGTCAAAGTGTCTTCCCCACCTATGGCTCTGCTCCTCTGGTGAACTGCAGATGTTACCGTTCTCATCCAGCACGGCGGAAGTGTGCACAGGGGCGAGGCCCCGGGTACAAGACTGGAGGTCATGGATGCACTTCCATACGACCGCTCCATTGAATCTCGACTCTGTGGCCGCCTGTGCCTTTGCCTTTATCCAGTCTACCCTAGCCGAGGATATGAAAGCACGCGCCCTGGATCTAGCCACCTTAAACGCTGTGTAGTGCGAGCAGTCGCGGCTCTGGCCACTACATAGCCAGTCGGTATAGCACCGATTTCGTTCATCTAGCAATAGCTGGATGGCTGACTCTGCCTCCCGAAACCAGTCTGGTTGGCGACGCCGGGAGAAGCCCAAGACAGACGCCGCAGACTTGTCGATAGCCGCTTTGACGTTGGACCATTTCTGATCTATGTCGTGCTGTTCTTGCCATGTATCTACAAGCTCGGGTGCAATGGTAGCTTGGTACCTTTCTGCAGGCGAAGGTGAGTCCGGGCCCGAGGTGCGCACCCGCAGCTGGGCAACATCATAACGGCGGCGCCGCACATTTGCCTGGTCGCGCTCCCGAACTAATCGTCCACACGGGAGTGCAAAAGTTAAACAGAGGAGTTGGTGGTCACTTCCACACTCAGCACTGCGCGCGACCGCAGTGTCCATACACCAACGGCGGTCCTCCTGGCGCACTAGAATGTAGTCGATACAGTGCCAGTTCAAAGTGCCTGGGTGCTGCCAAGTCCGCTTGAAGAGGTCTCGCTTGGGGAACCAAGTGTTACAAATACTCAACTGATTTAATGCAGCAAATGATAGCAGGTCAGCTCCTGAAGAGTTCAGTGCACTTAATCCATGCGAACCACATGCAGTGGACCACTCATCACCCTGCTCACTAGATCTGACTCGAGCATTGAAACCGCCAAGCACTACACAATGGTCAGTCTGGGGTACATCGTACAGAGTGCGTTGTAGATCGTCATAAAATAATTCCTTGCATGCCCGCGACGCAGCAAACGTTGGAGCATAAACGCTGACCAGAGTGAGCCAAACATCCGGTCCATCAGCTGCACAGTACTTCAAACGTACACTCACAATCCGAGAACTCACCGCGTTCCATACGCAGCCGCCAGCCCTCCACGCCGAAGTTGTATCACGATTCAAAACAAGAGCAACTCCCTCACCTCGACGTCGATTATCCTCTTCGCCAGGAGTGGGGCGGCCCGAACAGATCACAGTAAATCCGTTGACAGCGTAGATAGTTTGTCCAAACCAGTGGGTTTCCTGCAGGCCTGCCGCCGCCACTTTCAGCCTTTTCAGTTCAGAAATAACTCGGTGAATTTTTTTGTCTTCCACGACGCGTCCAGAAACACAAGCAGTGTCGATGTTGCCGTCCCGCTCCACCAAGGATCTCACGTTCCATGAGCCCAAACACAGCAGGCAACGTCTCCCTCTCCCTCTCTTCTCTCTGACAGATTTCATCGCGCGATGTTGTGCAAATCCGCTCGGGGGCTTGTCAAACCTCCGCGAGCGGCGACGTCGGGTACAACTAAAAGTGACGGCACCAAATTGCCGTCCCGTCTCTCAGCTGTATGCTTCCCTCTGTCATGCGCTTTCCCTGGCCTAGAGGCGGCCCAAAGAGGGCCACCTCAGGCCTCTGTGAAGTTTACAAAGGTCGAGGACTTGCAGTAAGCAGCAGCTCAAAAAAGCACAACCGTCCCCAGTGAACACAGGGACACACACACACACACACACACACACACACACACACACATACACACACATATACACACACATTATGGACATCCTCCTAGAACAATAGCCTAACCTGGATACGGTGATTGGACTGATCAACAAGCAGCAATCTGCCGTTGGACGAGACAATACCCACTGGGTTGTTGAACTGTCCTGGTCCACTTCCTTTAGTACCAAACTTGTTCAACTGCCTTCCTCCTTTCTCAAACACCTATATGTTGATCATATAAATAGGCGCAATCACACACGCACACCCACCCACACACACCCCATACCATACATACATACCCAGACACATGCATGCTCTCTCACGCGTGCACACACACACACGGAGACACACAGACACACACATATACACACAGATACACAAACACTTGCCTTTTGACATGTTGACCTTTTGACGCTGGAGGTCATGATAGTGATGCTACAACAGAAGCTATAGCAACTTGTACCGGGACTGCACCATTCAATAGAATAATTGACCCGCGCTCCGCGAAAACCGACCTTAGGTGCTTCTAAATTTTTCGAGAAAAAGAACAAAACGTCACGGTCTGTCGATTTTTGAAGATCACAAGGTGAGAGTCATGGCAGAACGAAGCAGAAGACAGTCGCTAGCTCAAATAATTGCTGTGGGCTTCTCCCAGAGGTTTCATCCGAACTCCTTTATGATGAATAGTCATTTTTTGGAATGGTCCAATCGCAGTTCTGATGACAGCAGGGCCAAGGAGAGTTGGATGTGGAATCGCAGGACGCTACCCAGATCGAGCTGGACGGCCATGGGGTGGAGAATTTTGATCAGGCATCAGTTTTGCCACCAGCCCAGCACCTCAATGCCGGCAATAAACAGAGTGCAGACCAAGAAAAATCGGTTCAAGTACTGTCTACAATCCAGGAGGCGCGCGACAAGTTTGACAAGGGCTGTAGTTGTTCCGCACTGGTGCTGTTTCAAGAGCTTGACACTTGAAACCTTGCTTTACATTTACAACGCACACAGCGCACGTCCTGACCAAGTCAGAGCGCTGCTTGTGTGTAGGCGGAAAGCTAGAGGTGCTCAGGAGACGTGGTGAGGCTACCCAGCGCGTCCAGCATGCTGGGACATGTGATAAGATGGGGCTCAACAATACTACTATGAACTACTAGTCAGTGGCTGGTGTGGAAGTCATGTACATGCATGTCAGGAAGTCTTTGTGTATGCCTCCAGCCCAGGATCAAGCCCTGGGTGCTGAAATCTGTGCAGGCTGCTGTCAGTGCAAGGGAAATCAGCCCAACACAGGAATTGAATGAATTCTGGAAAGCACTGCCTGTGGAAGATGTTGTGGAGCTGAAGCATTTTATAGAGCATTATGCTATAGCTCATGGCCTCCCTTAACCTGCAGATCCACATGGGCACAACAAGCCAGTACCAACCTACATGTATTTGCCCAGTATCACTACGAAGAAGCTTGTTCACCAGGCGTTCACAAAGCCTGGTGGCAAAGCTGCATACAGTACGTTTGGCAAGATTTGGAAAAGAGACTGCCATGATATCACCGATTATGAAACAATGTGTGCGGCAGATGTAGACATAACTAGATGTTCTACTACCAGTACCAGATAAAACTATCAATATTCTTTAACCTGGCATTGATCTGAGCTTCTTCACTACTTTGCACCTGCCTCTACCCGTCACTCTGGCTGGCATATCCTCATACAGAGCCAAATACCTCTTCCAGCAGATTCGTGAGCAACACCATCCACAGAAGAGAGAAAGAATATGTCTATCTCCACAACAGGAAGATCCAATGCCATCATAAACCTTTCCTTTTGAAGATTATGACATGCAGATTTATTCTGCAAAGTTTGGCTGCAATCATGCTGCTTGAATTCTCACAGCATTGGCTCCAAAATTAAGCATAAAATCCAGGATTTTTGCTACTTTTTCTCAAAATATTGTAGGAAAAGTGCAAAGAAATCGTCATTGTATCTAACTGAATATGTATGCAATCCACATCAAACTTCACCCGAAGTTGAAGAAAGGGTCATGGGTCAAGAATCCAGCACAAACTCAATTTCGCCAAAATAGCACCTAAGGTCGGTTTTCGCAGAGCGCTGGTCAGATTGCAAGGCTGAAGATTTGAACTCCGCTATTCAGCCTGGTCTACACCACACTGCAATTTAAAGTGGCTTTTTCTGGCTGATGAATCCCTACTTTTTGATCTTTTTTCTTATTTCTATTCCACAGAAACATCACACCGCATACTCCGGCATGCACTGGTTGTTACCATGCAGCAGAATGAAGGAAAAGCCAGGAGGAGTCTGAGAAAAAGAAGAAAGACGTGTGTGACCATAATCTTCGTGAATCGAACCCGCCACCTCTTGATTGGAAATCGACTGAACTTAGAACTGCACCATATGAGACACACACGCACACACCTGGTCCTGGTCCTGGTAAACACTGCCATTACGGTCACGTGTCCCCTCGCGGGGCCGACAACATGGAAAACGAGGCGCGACGGCAGAAAGTCGGCAGTCTGCCGAGAGATCAGGGACCATGTTCAATCGGCACGACGAGAGGGCCATCTCCGGCGGCTATGGATTTGGAATCCACGAGTAGAGCGGCAGCATCGGCCACAGGCCCCACAGTGGGCCTTGCAATATGAGAGAGCGAGCCGCACACGCTGCGGCGGAGGAGTCGCCTGACCAGCAATGGTAGACACCGCCGTCCGGCACGGAGCCCGAGACGATGTCGCGGGGAGCATCTGGGAGTTGGGGCACTTGTGGGCCGCCAAACCTCCGGCACTGCGGAACCAGCGCTCGCAGGAAGAACATTGTCGGCTACCTCTCTGTTCTGATACAGGTTTGCGGCACTCATCGAGGCATTTATGACGAGGCAAACCACTCCTGGAGAAGAGACAGCCACACTCGGCACAAGGTATCCGCAGGGGCTCACAAACGGGTTCGGGCGGGGGCAGAACACTGCAAGCGGCCCGCCATTCCCGTCTATCCTGGGCCAAGTCATACCATTCGTCGATGCCCAACGCCGCCAGATCCTTCCGCGCAGCATCGCGCCACCTTTTCCTCGGGCCGCACATTGGACGCACAGGATGTAGGGTGCCAAACAGTAGTTGACGCGGGGCACACTCCTCATGCATTCGCACAACATGTCCAAGCCACTCCATGCGGCGCGATGTCAGCAGGCTGGGGATGTCACGGGGCTGACGCGGATTCCACCGCTCCAGAACATCAACCCTGGTCAGTCGTTCGTCCCAGACATTCCGCTGGCTGATACCCATCACGGAACGGATGCAGCGCAGATGGAAAGAGCACAGTGCATCAAGGTCGGGCTTCAACGGCTCCCAACACTCAGCACAGTACAGAAGCAGAGACAGCACGCATGCCCCGTACACAAGCCGCTTTGTAGCAAGTGAGAGGTTGCTGTCAGTGAAAACCGACTGGCGCAGGGCTCCAAATGCACGTGATGCACCGGCAATGCGCGAGCTGATATCTGGGGTAGAGCGGCCATTCATGGGGAGGAGAGAGCCAAGATAACGGAAACTATCTACACACTCGACCACGTCACCCGCCACGTCCAGGGGCAGCCTGTCTGCTTCCGCGAGTCCATATCCAGCAGCCATCACCTTTGTCTTGTCCAGGTTGACTGTCAAGCCGAAAGAATACGCTACATGTATGAATTGGTCAAGGGCCCGCTGTGCACCATCATGAGTGGTCGCCAGCAGAGCAGATTCATCTGCAAATTGACACTCGCGATGGACCTTGCTCTTGTCTGTTGACTTCCGACTGAATAGGAGACTGCCCCCAGGGTTTGTTGCCACAGGAATACCAACGCCAGGAATGTCGGCAACAGCACGATGCCACTGCTGGAAAACGGCCCACATCAACAGATTGAAGAGTACCGGTGCCATGCAGCAACCCTCCCGGAGGCCGTTCCGCACCTCAATTGGTGGCGCATCAACTGCCGGGATCTTCAACGTTGCTGTCATATTGGTGTTGAAAGAGCATATGATATTGATGAGGCGCTCAGGGACACCTGCCTTAGGCATTGGCGGCTGACAGAGTCATATGCCTTACGGAGGTCTACGAAGACTAGAAAACCCTTGCACCGATGTTCGTAGAGCTTCTCTGCGACCTGCCGAACGGCGAAAACCATATCCGTGCATGACCGACCTTTCCTAAAACCACATTGGGAGTCGGGAAGGATGGTCTCGGCCAAAGACTGCAAGTGGCGCTGAATCATGGCAGCAACGACCTTGCCAACCACCTCAAACAAAGCAATGCCCCGCCAATTATCGCATTTGGCAAGGTTGCCCTTCTTCGGGATGGGGACCAGATTGCTAAAACACCCACTCTTGAGGGACTGCTTCGGCCTCCCACACGGTACACACGAGGTCCAAGAGGGCACACATAAGAGCGGGGCCACCGACCTTAACCATCCCAGGTAAGATGTCAGAGCCGCCAGCCGCCTTCCCATTGCTCATGGCTGACACCACACGCTGAAGCTCAGCAAAGTTCGGTGGTTCGCCAAGCTCCTCGACGATGTCCCGCTGTTCCACCTGATCGATAACACCGGAGTCGATTGTGCTGGGGATGTTGTAGACCTTGGTAAAGTGGCGCGACCATCGCTGTCCCTGCTCCGCCGGAGAAGTACAGATGTTGCCATTCTCATCTAGGATTGCCATATTTGGGATTGGCTTGAGGCCAGATCGGGCATCTTGTAAGGACCGTACTCCGGCCCACACGCGTGCGGAATTAAACCGGCCAATCTCAACCCTGCCCGCAACTGTGGCAAACCACTGGTTCTTAGCCGTGCGCACTGCCTGCCTAGCCTGTCGTCGTGCCGTGCGCAGCTTCTGGTAGTCATCGTTCCGACGACCATTCGTTATCCAAGACCGATGGCAGGCATTACGTTCCACCAGTAGCGGCTTCAAAGTATCCCTGCTATCAGCAAACCAGTCCGGCTGTCGGCGACCCTGGCGGCCCAAGGCAGACTGTGCGGCATCTGTCATAGCACTACGGATGTTGTTCCATTTTTCACCAACAGTGGAGCAGGGGTCGGCGGCACTCCTGAGCCTGGCAGCGATACTGTCTTGATACTCGTCAACAACACGGCGGACTTGACCATTGTCATCAGTGGATACAATATCCGGTAAGCGGCACGTTGCAAAACGAGCACTCTTGGACTGTGCGGCCGGCTTCCGCCACCTGACACGACCC